TCTCTTCCACTCTAGAAATAAATAAATAAAATATTGAAAAAAGAAAAGATGCATTAGCCAAGAAAGAGTCTTGGCACTTCACTGGTTCTTATTGTAAGACCAAAATGTCTAACAGTGGTTTTAAAATTCAGTTCAACTCATTCATTTATAATTCATTCACTTATTCATTTTTGCATTCATTTGTTCATATTTATTGAGTGGATACAATATATGTTTGGCTAGTATGAAGGGATAGATGATAAAAGTACATGATGACATGATGAAGGTGAAAAGCTCCTACCATCAAGGAACTTACATTTAATGCTAAGATAAATAAATAAATAAATAGATAGTTTCATCATTTATATGTATATAAAGTCAAAAATTATATGAAAAGTGCTTCAAGTAGATATAAATAAAATACTGTGGAAGGTCTGCCAAAGAGTAATATCTGTTGGGAAAGACCAAAGAAAGAGATTATGGAAAAATGTAACATATTAAATAGTTCCTAAAAATTACCTTGAATTTCCCTAGGAAATTTGGGAGTAGCAGGCCATCACAGATGAAGTGATCTGAGTCAAGAAAGCATGAGGCAGGTTTTAGAAACAACAATAAATACCCTTAACAGCTGTGTTAAGAAAAAGCAGGAGCTAAAATGGGTATTATAGGTGATGTTATCTTGTGCAGGATTTTTAAACAGTTCATACCCCCTGTCCTTCAAGGGCTTCACTATTATTCTCATTTAAAAATACTAGCACATCACTCCCTATGTTAGGCTAAACGAGGTGGGGGGAACTACCTGCTCACCTGTAGCCACTCAGCCCTCTCATAGCAGAAGTCTCTAATCAATTACAGTGCTCTTTCCAGTTTAGCCTGAACACAACAACCTCAGTGCTCTCAGCTCACTATTAATATCACTTGGATGAAACATGGCTGCCTTCCCAGGCCTAATCATACGTTTACAGAACGTTAGCATTTAATGGATCCTTAGGGAAAATGTTAGCCAATCTCCTCATGTTGGAAAACAGAAAAATTGAGGCTCAGAAAAGTTAAGGAATGTGCTCAAGATCTGACAGCCAGTGAGGGCCAAGGATCCAAGTGAACTATTTCTTTACTCCCCTGGTCCCTTTCCTATGTCTCTAACTATACGTGTCATGTTAAGAACAGGGTGACTCTGTTTCAGTGCCACATGACTTCCAAGAGGCTGACTTTGGCCATATTCCCAGAAAAAAGACACTTTGCCCACTCACCACTCTTCTTCCATAGCCAGTTTTCAACTTCCACAGGTGACAATCTATGGGTGTTCTGTTGGAACTAGCTTCCCACCAGGTTCAGCACTTCATTTCCTTCTATAAAACTCCCAGTACTGTTGAGGGTCTTATAGAAACATATCACAGAGGGATGAGGAGTAGAGGGAGGAGATAAATTAATCACATATTTCTGGACACTCATCATCTCATTCTTCTCTCCAAGGATCTGCTTTTAATGCTATTATACAGAATACCTAATGTTAGTATCTGAGCATCTTACTTGTAAACAAATTAGAGGGTGAAGTGATTCATGGTGCAGATGGATTTCCCACATTAAGAAAAGGTCACAAGATCTGTTTAATGAAGCATCCTCTGAAGGGTTTGTTAATAGGTTAAGTAACTGGTGCAGGGAGAAACTCGAAACTAAAATGTTCTAAGCCATGACTGCTGGTTAAGCATCAATCAGAAATTAAGATGAATCAAATCTGACAGGATTATGACTTTTAAAATGAGATATAATTTGCCCAGATTTATTTTTTTGTTTTACTGGATAAGCAGCTAAAATACGAGAATGTCGGCAGCCCCAAAGCTTCCTGGTCCTCTCTGCCATACACAGCCCTCCAAACTAAAAGTCTCTCAGGAGCAACCCAGAGCTCTTTTTCTGTCTATTCTTGTCTCATTCCCACAAACAGTATAATAAATATGTTCTGTGTGTTTCCAGATGGAGGTATCAACAACCCTTGTTTCCCCAAAGCCCAGAGACAAAATGCCATGGTGGGGATGTGTCTAGATAGAGAAATAGATGATTTCTTCACATTGTCTCTGGCAGGGTCCCATCCCAGTGTCCCATCTCTGTTGCTCAGTCACCCTGTTGTTTGTTTGCAAGGGTGGAGCTGGGGTTTCTCAAGCTTTGATTCACCCACAGCAATGAGTCTTGCCTCCCCTCCCTGATGGAGTCACAGGGACACACCTGCTATCAGGTGTCTACTCCCTAAAGAGGAAAGATGCAGAGCCTAGCCTTCTGGTTTCAATACAACATGGTCCTTAGAGGATGAGAGAGCAGATGCAAAATTCCAGGTGGCCAGATGATAGTCCCAAGGCCAGGCTAGGCAGGGGGGAAGGGAGCAGGGGCTACAAAGTCATCATTCCACTTGGCTTCCCAGGGTTCCATACCTGCAGAAGTTTTTACATGTAGTGATTGAGTCCAGGGGTGCCAGGAAGGCTTCCCTCCTCCTTCCTCTTTCAAAAGAATAGTCCTCTCCATCTGGAAATCAGTCATTACAGATTTAAGAGACTTGGATCAGTGTTCTCTTCTGGATTCTGGATCCAGCCACCATCAGAGCCAGTTTTTTCATCCATAAAGTTTATAATACAATTAGCTTTCTTCATAGAGTGTTGTGAAAACTGTATATGGAGGTGCTTTATGAGGTTTAATGACTAATAAAGATGCACCTGTGCCTGTCAGTGCACGGACCAGGGATCAGTTCAGGTCTCTTAGAGAAGAGAGGGAAGACAGGCTTGGTGGGAAAGAGAACACCTGAGTGCCAGGGAGGGAAGAGGAAGGGAGACTAGTGCAAGATACAGAAACCACCAGAACCAGCTCCCTAGTTTGTCGTTAACATAGCCTCTGCCGAGAAGCAGCCCAGTGGCCCAATGGCACTTCAGCTCATTGAAAACAGCTGTGAAGTCAGGAGACCTGTGATCCAACCCCAGCTATGACATTAACCTCTCTGTGACCTTGAGCAAAGCATGTCCCCCTTCCAGCCCTCACTTTTCCTCTCTATAAAATGGGGATAATGTGGCCATCAGGGAAGTTGAGTCAGGGTTTTGAAAAGTTGAATGTGTTAGATGCATACAAATTTGATGGTAACTTAGATATTTATGACCTAGAGGGCATGGTCCCTTCAAGGCCAGCCATGTTTTTAGGTCTTTAACCCGACCAACCCTGCAGTATCCTCTGAGATAATAGTTATGTTATAAGCCAAGTTTTATCATTAGCTAGAATTCTGAAAACTAAGCAGAAGTTGTTTACTGACCAAGTAAGTCTCAGTGGTAACTGAAACTTAAGGGATGTCGCCTTCTATCCCCTCATACATGGCACACCTACACTCACACCTTCTAGGGGTCAGGCACCTGAGAACGCTCTGATTTCCATCCATGCCAGTTCTGTGTTGCTGCATATTTCCCTTTTGGAGAGTCTGCACCAGGATGAACACAGTGGTATGGGAGTGCGGAAGTGAGGGTGCAGGTGGAGAGGATGTTCATCTCCAAGATGGAATGCAGAGCCCAGAATCTAGAACCATTCTTGAAGGTGATAGACTTGGGAGGAGGAAGGGGAGGAGACATGGCCTGGAGAGGAAATTAGGGGTTAGCTTTTAAGAGTAGCCAACCCTGAAAAATGAGCAATATCAGGTCTATCTATGACAGAAAGCTCAGGCGACATCCTTAGTCATGGTTCCCCCAGACACAGTCACCTGTCCACCAAGGAGATGCTAGTCACTGTGATAGAGTGGAAATGAGTTTTGGGCCAGGGCCCTCACCCAACTCCATTGTATGTTACATGTTGAGCAGCCAGTTAATGTTCTTGGGTCTACTTTTGTAATCTGTAAAGTGAACATGTGGGTCTGAGGTTCCCAGCAGTGGTCCCAAGGGAGTTGGTATCCCCGAGCAGTCCTGCCTTTCCCAACCCCAGGCATTAGGTGGCCGACTGGAGGACCAGATTCTTTCCTCCCATCTGAATATGGTTGCCAGATTTAGCAGATAAAAATTCAATCCGCCCAGTTATGGCTGAATTTAAGAAAACAACAAGAAATTTCGTAGTATATTTCATGCAGTATTTGGGACATACTTACACTAAACAAATTCTGTTGTTTATCTGAAATCAAATTGAACTGGGACTCTGTGTTTTACAGCCCTAATCCAGAGGCCAAATTCTATACTACCCTCTTTGACCACCACTAACACCCACCAGTTCTGACTCCTGGTAGACAGGTTGAGGACACAGCACCATGTTGATTAAGCTTAGGGGCACCATTCACAACCTTCCGCTTGTGCTCAAGAAGTCACACAGAATCCTATGCAAAAGGTCCCTGCTGAATTGGGAAACCCATAAGCACTGTGCAGCAGGACAGGGCTAGGGGCAAGAGATCCTGTGGCTAGACTTTTGACTTCTCCCTCTATAATGTTTAAAACTCTGGGTTCTTGGAATCCTTCCCATCTAAGTTCAAACCCCATCTCTGCTGCTTACTACTTATGGGATCTTTCCCAGCCTCACTTTTCTCAACAGCAAAGCTGTAACAATGGCATGGGCCTTAAAGGGGTTCTAAAGATACAATGAAACAATGGGTAAGGGGTGATCTCAGTGCTAGGCATCAGTGAGTTAGCAGTGAATGGCAGCAAAATGAAGTGCCCCAAGGCCATACTCCCCTCTTTTTTGTCTCGTTCCTTAGCATTTTTTTATGGATCCTCAGATTTGTTCTATTGCAAAAGATCTTGAGTCCCTGACTTTGAGCAAAGTCCTTAGGTGGGTGAAGTCAGCTCTGGTAGACAGAGATGAGACACAGAATGTTAGAATATCTGGTGGGTGTTTTCCATCAAAACAGTCTAGTCTAGTAAAGCAAGTCCCTGGAGGAAGTGCAGGTGGGACAGGTGGGTGAAGAATTCCCTGGGAGGTGATGAGCAGGGCCACGCCAAGTGCTGGGGGGCAGGTTGGGGGCATTTATAAGGTTGTCAGCAGTGACTGGCTATGAACCTTGCTCAGCCTCTCCTGGGGTCCGGCTTGTGGCTCTGGTAAGTAGGAACTCATTTGTTTTCCAGTGATCTGTGGAGCCCTTTCCTCCTTCCTGAACTGCTAGGAAGGAAGCTGCTAGGCTAAGCTCCTCATCTTTCTTGGTTAATCAGAGAAGTGACATGAGCCTCGTGACAATTAAGGAAATGTCACACTAATCTTTACTTAGGAAATTTAGTCTCCATTCTGTACCATTGCTAGGTGTGACTAATTTCCTGATTCTGGGGTTTAGCTCCCTGGCAAGAGGATCTTTTCCATGAAGGGGATATATTTACAGATGTAGCATTTGATGGCAATGCTGATCCTTCCTCAAAGCTTTCTCATGCACTTATTGGCACTACCAATAAGCTTTTCAAGCTTTGCTTTTAGTTTTGCAGAAATCATATTTTATATATTATATTTAATATTATATAGCTACCCTGTCTCACTCTCATGATTGCTACCTGAAACTATACTTCCCATTTCTAGTCACAAATTTAGAAGGTTAGGAATGCTGCCTACAAAGAAAATCAGACACACATGTCAGAGCTTGGAAGACCTCAGAGATCTACTCAATCAGCATCCTCTAAATAAGGGCATGGGGTCCAGATTGCCCAGTGAGTGGCCAGTGCTCTTTTCCCTGAACCAGGCTGCCTCTTGGTAAAACATCTTCCTAATAAGTCTCTTAACTCCAGTGATTTATTTGGCCTTATATACACTGTATAGGCGACTAAAACCACTATCCCACCACCAGGTTAAATGATTTGCCTTAGCATTCCATGGTGAGTCAGGGGTGGAGCTAGGATTAGAACTCAGTCCTCTGAGTACCTGGAACGGGGTTTCTCCAACCCATCACTTACACACACGTTTCCCTAAGACACAGACTGCCTCTTCTTTGTGCCCATCCATCTTGCACACACTCATTGCTCTACCCAAGGCAACCAGTAGACACTCCAGACTTATCAGCCCATGCCTTGATCTTGTAAAATATCTGAGCTACCTTTTAATCATCAACTCAGGACACCCATCATATTTCCTGGTAAGACTTAGAAATAATGTATTTAGTTAAGTGAGGAGTCCATGGGAAGATGCAGGAAAATAGGAAATGAAAGAGCAGAGAGGAAGAAAGAAAAAGAGAGGAGAGGATCACAATGGGTGCATGTGAATCAATCCATTAACCAATTTGAGGCTATTAATCACTTACCATTTTCTTGGTTGGTGGACTCTTCTGGGTCTCAGAAGGGAGAAGAGATAGAGGGAGCCCTTCTCATGGTGTCCCTGCCTGGGTTTCTTTCAGAATCACCTGTTCCTGCAGCAATGTCTTCGCAGCAGCAGCAGCAGCAGCAGCAGCAGCAGCAGCAGCAGCAGCAGCAACACCTGTCCCAGAAGATCCAGCAGCAACAGATGAAACAGCCCTGTCAGCCACCACCTGTCAAATGTCAAGAGGCATGTGTACCCCAAACCAAGGATCCGTGTGCTCCTCAGACCAAGAAGCAATGTCCACCCAAGGGCATCTCTGTCCCTGCCCAGCAGACATGCCCCTTGGCCCAGCAAACCCCCAAGAGTAAACAGAAGTAAAGATCAACTGGAATAAAACCTGCTTGCCACCCAGACTACCAGATGGATCCTTCCTCCTTCCACCTCCTCCAACTCGGGGTCCAGTGAAGCACTATCACAAGTTCTTCCCACTGAGACCCCCTTTGCCTCCAAGTCTTTTATACCCTACCTTGACTCTCTCCTAGGTGGACATGAGAAGGCCTCATTCTTTCCAACATTCAGCTTGACCACAGCTATGCTGTATCCATGTCCCAGAGCAAGAAATGTATCTGGGCTTCTTCTAGGATTCCACCCTGGCTAGTAGGGACACCAGAGGCTGATGCACAGCTTCTGCTTCATTTCCTTCCCCAGCTCCCCCTCCCTCAGTTTCTGTTTTATTTCCTCCCCTAATAAATCTGTGCTTCATATTATTGTCTGTTTCCTGGCTCTAGTCTGTGATCCATTATATGGTTCAGAGGAGGTATTTGGGGGAAGGGAGTGAATCTGGAGAGTATTATGCTAAGTGAATACTAACTAAGTATTATGCTAAGTGGGCACACACATGTGCCCAGGAAAGCATCCTCATGTACAGAATTATTCTCCAGTAGCTAATAACAAAAAGGTCAAATACTGATGCATCTCAAGTAAAGAAGGGGGAGAAAAAGCCCAGGGACTAGCTGACAAAGGTCTGGGAGACTTGTGTGAGTAATCATACCTAGGGAAGGATAAAGGAAGGAAATGTTTAGCTTTTACCATGAAAATCACTCAGCCTACCTGATGAATGTGGTTTTTCCCTTTCAGGAGTTGTCTTTCTGAAAAATTAGACAAAAGTTAAATGATGTAAGAGTACTACAAAGCGCTTCTGCAAACATGAAAATAAATTTTTTAATTTGGAATTTTTGTGCTTTTAAATTTTTTATTGAATTTATTGGGCTGATATTAATACATTTATACAGGTTTCAAGTGTACAATTCTAAACTATCACCACCCAAAGTCAAGTCTCCTTCCACAACCATTTATCTCTTTACCTTCTTCTACCTGCCCCTACACCCCTTTCCCTCTGGTAATTCCCATATTTTTGTCTGTGTCTATGAGGGGCATTTTGCTTAATCCCTTCACCTTTTCACCCAGCCCCTTAACCCCTCTCTCCTCTGACACCTGTCAGTCTGTTCTCTGTATCTATGAGTCTGTTTTTATTTTGTTTGTTTGTATATTTTTTCATTATAATCCACATATAAGTGAAATCATATGGTATTTGTCTTTCTCTGATTTACCTATTTCACTTAGGATAATACTCTCCAGATTCATCAATGCTTTGACAAAAAGTAAGATGCCCTTCTTTTTTACAGCCAAGTAGTATTCCACCACGCAAATGTACCATAGCTTTTTTGTCCCTTTATCTGCTGATGGACATTTGGGATGCTTCCCAACCTTAGCTACTGTAGATAATGCTGCAGTGAACATAGGGGTATATACATTCTTTTGAATTAATGTTTCAGGTTCCTTCAAATACATTTCCAGAGGTAAAATGACTGGGTCATAAGGAAGTTTTCATTTTTAATTTTTTGAAGAAACTTCCACAGTGGCTGCACCAATCTGCATTCCCGCCAACAGTGCACAACTGTTCACTTTTTTCCACATCCTCCCCAACACTTGCTGTTCATTGACTATTGATAATAGCCATTCTGACAAGTGTGAGGTATATCTCACTGTAGTTCTAATTTGCATTTCTCTCATGACTAGTGATTTTGAGCATCTTTTCATATGCCTATTGGCCAAGTGTTTGTCTTCTTTGGAGAAGTGTCTATTCAGGTCCTTTGCCCATTTTTTAATTGGATTGTTTGCTTTTTTTGAGTTATATAAGTTCTTTATAAATTTTGAATATTAAGCCCTTATCAGATGTATCATGGGAGAATATGTTCTCCCATTCAGTGGGTTGTCTTTTCATTCTGTTGACAGTTTCTTTGCTGTGCAAAAACTTTTAAATTTGATGTAGTCATATTTGTTTTCTTTTGTTTCCTTTGCCAAAAAGATATAACAGAAAAAAATCACTGAGAATTGCCTGAGATTTTACTGCCTAAATTCTAGAATTTTTATGGGTTCAAGTCTAATATTTAAGTTTTTAATACACTTTTAATTTATTCTTGTGTAGGATATAAGAAAGTGGTCTAATTTCATTTTTTGCATGTATCTGTCCAAATCTCCCAACACCTTTTATTAAATAGACTGTCTTTACCCCATTGTATGTTTGTTTCCTTTGTGACATATTAATTAACCATAAAGGTGTGAGTTTATTTCTGTTTCATTGATTAATATGTCTTTTATGCCAATACCATGCTGTTTTGATTACTATGGCCTTGTAGTATAGTTTTATATTAAGTAACATGATTCTTTGTTTTTCTTTCTCAAGATTGCTGTGGCTATGGGGTCTTTTGTGGTTCCATATAAGTTTTTGGAATTGTTCCATATCTTATGGGAATTGTGTTAAATTTATAAATTGTTTTGGGTAGTATGGACATTTTAATGATGTTAATTTTTTCCTCTTTGTGAACATGGTATATCCCTCCATTGACCATATTTTGCCATATATAATGCACACCTTTTTTTTAGGTGAAAATATGGATGCACATCGTACACAGGTAGTACTAATTCCATATCTATGTACATGTTTTTAATTATTTTATTTATGCTTAAGCATTAAAAGTATAACTCTAGAAAGCAATAATGATGTCTATATGTAAAAAAATACCCCAGAAAACAGTAATCAGTTTTGTTTCTAAATATAAAAGAATAACTAATTGAATTGAAAAATTAAAATGAAAGGGTTTTTTCCCCTGAAAGTTGGGCCAAAAACATGGATGCACACTATACATGGAAGCACACTATACATGGCAAAATATGGTATTTGTATCTTCTTCAATTTCTTTCTTCACTAATTTATAATTTTCTGAATACAGGTCTTTTATATCCTTGGTTACATTTATTTCTAAGTATTCTATATTTCATTGCAATTGTAAATGGATTGTTTTCTTAGTTTCACTTTCTGATAGTTCATTATTGGTGTATAAAAATTCAACTGATACCTGGATATTTATTTTGTAGCCTGCTACTTTACTGAATTCATTTATCAGTTCTAGTAGTTTTTTTTTTGGTGGAATCTTTAGGGTTCTCTATATACAGTATCATGCCATCTGCAAATAATGACCAGTTTACTTCTTTCTTTCCAATTTATATGCCTTTTATTTCTTTTTCTGGTCTACTTGTTGTGGCTAGAACTTCCAGTGCTATGTTGAATTAAAGTGGTGAAAGTGAACATCCCTGTCTTGTTCTCACTCTTAAGAGAAATGCTCTTAGTTTTGCCCATTGAGCATGATGTTAGCTGTAGGTTTGTCAGATATATGGCTTTTATTATGTTTAGGTATGTGCCCTCTGTTCCCACTTTGCTAACAGTTTAAATCATAAAAGGGTGCTGGATTTTATAAAATGCTTTTTCTGCATCTATTGATATGATTATATGGTGTTTTTTCTTCATTTTATTTATGTGGTGTGTCACATCTACTGATTTGTGATTGTTGTACCAATCTTGCATTCCTGGAATAAATCCCACTTGATCACGGTGTATGATCTTTTGATATATTTGATGTGCTAATATTTTGTTGAGGATTTTAACATATATGTGCATCATGGATATTGGCCTATAATTTTTTGTAGTGCCTTTATCTAGTCTTGGAATTAGAATAATGCTGGCCTTATAAAATGAACTTGCAGTTTTTGCTCCTCTTGAATTTTTGGAAATAGTTTTAGAAGGAGAGGTGTTAGTCCTTCTCAGAATGTTTGGCAAAATTCACCTGTGACCCATCCAGTTCAGGGCTTTTGTTTGTTGGAGTTTTTTTTGTTTGCTTTTTGCTTCTACTTGATTAGTTCTAATCAGTCTATTAATATTTTTATTCTTTCTGATTCAGTTTTGGAAGATTGCATGCTTCTAGGATTTAGCCATTTTGTCCAGATTGCCCAATTTGTTGTCATATACTTTTTCACAATTTTTAAAATTCTTTGTAATTATATGGTGTCTGTTGTTACTTCCTTTTCATTTTTTATTTTATTTATTTGGATCTCCTTTTTTTGATGAACCTGGTTTGAAAATGAATTTTTATATTTTCATTTATTTATCATCCATTCATTTACTCATTAATTCACATGCATTCCCTTACTTATTCACTCATCCATCTTACAAGCAAGCTCTGTATAAGTTTAGTTGCCCACTCTGCTGTTCTGGTCCCAGAGCTTATTCCTGAGACAGTCTATCCTGAGTCTCAGTCTGCCTTTGGAAGACAGTCATTTTCCTATGCAGGGAAAGGTTGTCCCAATGATGGCATCTACAGAATGTGTGCAGTTTTACAGCTGGTTTTGTCAGTTACCTACAAGACCCAGATCATACTACAGTCCTGCAGCACCAGATAATTCACTTTTCCCTAGATATATCATTCAATTTTGATACCTCTGTTTTTTGTTAATGCTGCTCCTTGGGCATAGAATACCATTTCTCCACTTTGCTCTCTCAGAGATCTTCTTAGTTCTAAAGGTCTGGTTCAAATATTTCCAAGGTACCTCAGTTAACATATCAGAAAGAACTAAAACCTATGGTAAGCTCTCATGATACTTTGTACAAATTTCTTATTAAGATAATTATTATAGTTTTTATGAATTGTGTTATATATTTTTCCATAATAATTCACCTTTATGTATTTATTTCCCCTACTAAAGTATAAACCCTTGAAACCTAGAGGTCTTACTGTTCTTAATATTTCCCAAATGCAGAACTGGCTTTTCCAAATGCCGAAGGAAAAACTTCTGCTTCTGAGTGAAATGGGATAGCTTGTGGTAAACCCATAGTCTAGTACAATCTAGAATAAATTTACAAATTACCTGGGGACTCCAAAACTCCAGAGAGAAAAGTACTTCAGAGGTAAGCTGAAACTTTTGTATACCCCAGGATCATTTGTGGATCCTGGGCATGAACAGAAGAAAGACCTAGGCTTTTC